TTTTTTTTTTCTTTCTTTTTTCTTTCTGTGGGCATGTTGTGTTAGACTGCAGTTAATGGCCTGTTTCCTTCTTCTGGATGGATGCAATATCTCACAGAAAAGCTTTTACCTTTCATGAGAGAAATTTGTTTTGCATTTATTAAGCTGCTGTTCTTATTGCGGTTGGGCAGTGGTAATTGCCAAAGAGGTGACTCTTCCCTTGCAGAGTCTGGGGAAGACTTTTACACAAACACCTAATTTTCTTTGGCTTGTGTGCATAAGTGAATACACCTACCTAGTCAACTTCCTCCTTGCCTATATATGCTTAAGGAAGAACAGGAATTGGGGGAAGAGGGGTGGGGAATAAAGCTACAAAAAACTGCACAGCAAAGTTGTAACAAAGATTAATTTTGTTTGTGTAGTTTTGTAATTCTGGCAGTGGTGGCCTTCATTAGTAGAAGTACAGGAAGGAAGTGGCAGATACATTTACTCTTCCATAAAAGGTTATATGTGAAGGAAGCGGCTGTACATATGAAAGTTCACTATGGTAAGTGGTGCAAGGGGAGACGAGGAATACAGGGAAGCTAGTCTGTCACAACTCTTACTGTCTTTAAATAGCAGTGCCTACCTAATTTGGCTCAGACATTGTCCCTCTAATGCAAGTTGTGCTTTCTAACCTTCTGTGTCTGTAGAGAAGCCTTCTGTGATTGTTCAACTTGCAAGTGAAGCAATTCTAGGGGAAAACCAAACAATCTTCTTGAATTGCATGGCATTTTCACCTACATGTGATTTAGAAAGCATCAACTTAAGGCCAGGAAGTCTCAGGAAACAACTTCAGGCAGATTTATGCAAGATTATACAGATCTATGTTTGAAAACTTAGTTTTTTAGCTCCCGGTATCTTTAGATGAGTGGCATTTGTCTCATGCATGTAAATCTAGAACAGCACCACTGAATTGAATTAATGCAGAAAGAGAGCAGTATTTGTATTTATGCTGGCATTTTACAAATCTATTTAGGTATCTCTGGGGTGATGAATCTCAGACTTCCTAGTATTTTCAGTAATGCTTGATGCCTTCTTAACCAGTTGTCTGTGTATCGTGTAATCTCTCAGCCGTGGCAACTCAGACAAAAGAAATAACATTTTGTTCTAAGGCTATCATTGGGGATATTTGATTACTCCATTGGCTTAGATAAGCTTGAACTGGTAGAATAAAAGGTTGGTTTTTGCAGGAGATGGACAAATAACATTATTCTTAGACAAGCATCTCAGTGCAATCACAAATCAGGCTTTTGTGTCTTGAGAAGCAAGAATCTGGATTCTAATCTTTACTTATGATTACTTCTTCTTTTGCAGCGCTTATCAATCCGAAAGCCTGAAGACTCCAAAGCCAAACAAAAACAAGGAGACAATCTGAGGGAGAGGATCATCAGACGGGCTGCTTTAGAGTTTGAGGATGGCATGTATGGTATCCTTCAGCTGTGCTATAGGCTAAAGTGAATAGCTCACTAAAATAACAACTGCAGCTGTTTTGTTCAAGACAGGCTAATTACCATGCTCACTGTCTTTTCCAGAGCCTGGGATTCTCTCGTTTTATTAACCCCCTCTTGAAATGGATGGGATGTTAAGGTATAGGCAACCTGGAGATTTTTATCCAGGCATAATTGAAGAATTTGTTAGTAGTTGAATGTTTTGCAAGAATTTCTGTAAAAAGTTATGTAAGTTGGAAATGAAGCTTACTTGCACTGTGGTTTTCTAATCATGTAAAGCATTTGAAAGAATCCAATTAGGCAGTCCAAATGGCAAAATAATTCATCACAAGTGTGAGCCATCTAACTAAAAATCAAAGTGTTTGTGAAGAGAACAGTTCCAATCTGATAGTACAACGGTAACCTTTTTTTCATTTACTAGTTTACAGTAAGTGTGTTCCTGTTTGTGCCTTAACCAATTCCCTTCAGCTAATCTGGGTATTGGAATCCCACTGTTGGCCAGTAACTTCATCAGTCCAGACATAACGGTTCACTTACAGAGTGAAAATGGAGTCCTGGGTTTGGTAAGAATATCTCCTGATCGCTTAACTGCAGTGTACGTACTTTGCAGTGGCTGGGTTTTATTCCCCACCCACCGCCAACCTGATCATAATTTTACTAAAAATCATACTCAAATATATACCATACTGCATGATCCTAAAATTCTCATTATAGTGCAGGGAATTTTTTAAGGAAGTGCTCATTTCAGGATTATACTGCTACTTTACTAAGTGTGTTCTTAAGTACATGTTTTGCTGGAAGGAGTCAAAACCTTCAGTAGTTTGCAAGACCAAGCCTTGTAAGCCTTATAAAACATAATTTTAAATGAAGCTTAAAGTGAATATTATTTTCACTGTCATGTGGCTCTTTTTGAAGTTGCACCTGCATACCTTTTTCTGAAAAATATCTTGTCACTCAAACCAAGCAACACACTTAGTTCTTGGTTATTTTGTAATTCTAACAGCCTCTAACAATGTGTGTGTCAGTCCTGATAGCTGATGTTAAATTGTGGCTTGTATGGTCAGGGATAATGTTCAGCTAAAGAAAAAAAAATACATGTCTGTGGTGATCTGTTTTTGGTAATAAGCATTAGAAATAATAAAGCAGTTATTAATTGTATCCCAAAGGTGTTTTAATATAAAGCTAACATATGTCTGTGTTGTTGTCAGGGTCCTTATCCACTTGAAAATGAAGTAGATCCAGACCTGATTAACGCAGGTAAGGTCTTTTAAATAAATTTAATTTATGGAAAATGATTATTCATTGCTCATCTAAAAATTTTATTTTGATTCAGAATTTGAACCCAGACTTCTGTATTATTTACTTATAAGTGTTAATGTATTTGTCTTCTTTTAAGTGAAGTTTGTTTTTGATCAATGGAAGTGTTTAGTATTCCAGTTAGAAAGCTTATGCTTTGATGCATTTTAGTCACTACTGAGGGAAACTCTCTTCCAGGCCAGGCAGTAAAGGCCTTACCAGAAGTGAGATTATTTTATGAAGCCTATATGCAAATATGAATTTGTTTTCTTGCTGCTTTTTACCTTGTGTTTTCTAGAGAATGGTTTTCAGTGGTTTGTTTGGGACATGTTTTAAAACGTCCTGTATATACTGGCCTTGGTTCTTCCTGGCTAGTGAGTTGCCAGAAATGCAACTCATTTGCATTTGGAGAGAGAGCAGTAACCAGGGCAGGGGGAAGGAACCCCCAAAAGGGACCTGGCACAGTGGAGGGCTCTGCTACAGGCCGTGCCTTTTACCACTTTACGGAGAGGAATGCCAGTCCCCACGTGCTTTTTTTGCCCGGCTGTTTTGGGACATTCCACCTCAGAAGCAGCCATTGAATGTAAAAACTTATGCTTTTTACAGTTTATCAGATCTCTCTAATTTTTGTTTTCTTCATGGAAAGTTGTGTGTGTATCCATTTCTCTGTTTCCATGTAAAATTACACCTATGTATTGCATTGTGACAAACAGAAGTAGGCCATGGCACATTATGAATTCTCAGTGGTGTTAATGGTGTAGGTTGTAGACCCATATCTGACATCTTAGAGGTGGGTTTTTTTTAAAATGGAAAGCCTGTGCATTTCGTATTTTTTGTTTATACATATACACACATATATGTCTGGGTATGTATGTATGTATGTGTCTATATAGACAGTAACTTTCTCAACCGCTGTTAGCAAGTACAGTTAAACTCTGAAAAGTTAAAGAAGATAAAGTACTGACATAAAAAAAGTTTTTAATTTAATATCAGGTGCAGTCCAGAGTTGTTTGTGGACTTGAAACATTTGCTGCCTGGCTTGACTAATTGATACCATTCTCATACTACTATGTTATTGCCCCTGTTTCAGTATCACGTTTTAAATAAGGAGTTATTTAAGGCCATTCTCTGATTTGAAAGAATAAATTATTAACTAATTGAGTCCAGCATTTCACCAGTAGTTAGGTAGCTGTTGTGATACACTGTATGAAGGAAAACGTCAGAGACACATGACAGCTGTGTTAATGCTTGAACTAAAATTGAGGCATTGTTGGTTTTTTTTTTAAATAAATTATTGAAGATGTAATTGGAAGGAAAAAAATATTTAGAATGAAGACCATTTATTAGAAAAGGTGAAATTATATGCATGCATATTAGAACTTGGGTTCTGATATGGATGTATTTGGAATGAACACGTCAGCAAAGTGATGATGGAAAAAAAATACCCAAGAACTTGATAAATACTCTGAAAAATTATTGTGCTTTTATATGGATGTCAAGATGATCTTAAATTGTTGTTTATGGTTGATAAATATTTTTGAAGAGCTAATCTTGCAGGGATTAAGCAAACATAAGAGGTTAGAATGCAACATGGAAATCAGATTACTTTAGTATTGATACTTCAGTGTTAAGCACCTTCACATTTTCCTCTGAAGCAGCAGTAGCCGGGACACAGGATAGGTGGACCTCAGGTCTACGGTCAAAATTAATATTTTATCTTTGTTGAAACACACAGAAACTGCTAAATCCCTCTGACACTTAGTTTGATTAAAACCACTGTAGATGCTTTCCAACCAAATTTAAAAATAAAGGTGAAGAAAAGAGAAGCTAAGTGTCAAAGGAATGGAATTTAATTCTGTTCACATTCATAGACTGGAATGGTATGGTATCAGCCCCCAAAGTCCACAGTTTCAAAATGTATTCCCAGTTCAGGCTTTTGCCAAGTTTTTATGTGCAAATGTAATTGTATTTCTCTGAAATAGGTTTCCATTTTTTTGGTCCCATTTTCTGCATGTCTCACATGAAGCTTATCTTTACTGTAATTGAAAGGTAGACTTCCGTCTTATAGCAGAAATATTTACAAGTACTGACTTCCTGAGAGCATTTTCAAGAAGTGGGCAATGCAGTGCTCTTGCTGCATTATTCTGTGGTCCTCAGCCTGTGCCACTTTCTTCTCAACATTGAGCTTGTCACTTTATCCTAGTGTTCTCGCTCCATGTTGCTGCTTGCAGGCGATGTCCTCTCTCCCCCTCTCTTAGGTGGGTGCCTGGCAGGGAAAGACAGTTCAGGCAGTCTCAGCGGTTCTGAATGTTTGCGTGGTAAATTCTTGTGATCAGACTCCAAGACCACTTGTATGACCTTAATTCTGTACTATTTTGTGTGTCAAAATTTAATTTCCATACAACGTCTTGTCATATAATGCACATCAAGTGAACCAAACAAATTAAAACATGTGACTGAGATCTCTATTTTAGCTTCCCTACAGTGTTTCCTTCCCTCTTCCCATCCTTAGCTAACATCGTTGTCTCTTTTTCCCTGTGTTCTGGAAACTGTTTAATGATGTTTAATTCCTCTTCTCCTGTCTTGTTACACTAACTTTTTCTTCACAATGTCATCTGATGCTGAAGTATTTTGTTTTTGTTTTTGGTTTTGTTTTGTTTTTTTCTCTCAAGCTTCCCATGCTTGGTTTATAATTTCACCTTTGGCTGTGTTTCTTATGCCTTTCAAGAGGCACTCTGTACACATGGTTGCTGCTTAGACTGATTCAAAGGGCTGGCAAGAGAGGAAAGAGACAGAGTCAAAATAAGACACTTCCATGTGTGCTCCATTGCTTGACCCAAGCATTGTGCAGAGAAAAGTACAGCACACAGAAGCACGTTTTCTTGTGCACTGTAACAAAGCAAGATTAGACTAGATATCTCTTTTATTTTTCTGTGTTCTACATCATTATCTCTATAGAGTGTTCAGTCTGGTCAGCTCACTCTTCCTTGCAACCTCTCTGTCTCCTGAAGATGCACTTTCTTTGTTTCAAAAGAGTTACCTCGCACTTTTTCTATGGATAAAGCAGAAAGCTGAAGTCTACAGGTATTTCTTAGCCTCTGGTGTCAGTGATGTCTTAAGTGGAACTGCTGATGGTCAAAGAGCAGGCAATCCTGTCACTGAAAACCCACAAACCGCTTTGCAATTGATCGATTAAGTTTGCATGTGACATAGTAAGTATAAGCAGGTCCATGGTTTTACAGAATCCAAATGAATTTGATTAAAAACCCTTATTTCTTGGTTAGTAGCTGTGACTTCATGTGTCAAAGAGACAAAATACATACATACACACTGTAGCTTATTTCTTTTACAGGTAAGGAGACAGTCACTGTTCTTCCAGGTTCTTCCTATTTCTCTAGTGATGAATCATTTGCAATGATAAGAGGGTACGTAACAACACAAACCCTGATTTTTTGAAACATGAAAATAAAATGAGTCAGTGACTGAACTCATTAGTAATTCTTTGAAATGTGGTTAGCATTTAACAACCTGTAAAATGATCATGGACTTAATCAGTGATGGTTTGCAGAGGGTTAGGTCTGGCTCTTGGAAATAGAAAAACACTGTAACTAATAGATACCGTAGTGATGTTCCTGTCTACCACCACCTGGCCATATATAAACACATTTATAACTATGTTTTAACACCTACTTTTTGGTCATTTCCAAGTATCTAATCTGTACTTGTACTCTGTATATTTCTTTGCTTGGTGATCCTCATTCCCTCTCCCTAATGGAAATTCACTGTCTGCACCTGTTTTTTGTTTGTTTTTCGGGAAGGAGATTGGATGCAAACAAACACTAAATCCTAATGGCTCTGAAAAGATAATGAGTGCATGTAAATATGTGAAAGAGTGCACTTCAAAGTATGAGTTCAGAGCTGATTGACTGTGCATGCAATTAACCAAAACCAGACAAAAGTGCTAACATTTCTGGGGCTCAGTAGGCAGACACAAAAATTTTTATCAGCAATACATCTAGACAGGAAAAACAACATGTGTGACAAAAGGGTTGCTGCCTCTGTGGTATGCCACCGGTTTTTACATTGATGTAATGAGAATGTGAACAAAAGCTTGTTAAGATTTGTGGGCTGTTACTTGAACATGTTATACTAATTACACACTTTCTGTCACCAGAGGCCATGTTGATTTGACAATGCTTGGAGCTATGCAGGTGTCTAAGTATGGTGACCTGGCCAACTGGATGATTCCTGTAAGTAGGTGTTTGTACTACTGGCAGTGCACTATATTTAGGATGATATAAACATAGCTGAGGGTCAGGCAAAGGAGAAAAGGGCTGAAGCAGAATGGGGGTTGTGAGCATTAAAATAAATGATATGTACAGCTTTAAGGTTAACAGGCTTTCCTGTGTACTGCTGGCACCAAGCAATTGATTATCAGGAGTCAGCCCTCTAAAATTATGCTTGTGCTAAGCATTGCAAAAAGCTAAACATAATTTCTGTAAGCCTTTTTCCTTCATCTTTGGTCTATGCCTTTCAATTGTCACAAGTTTTTTTGCTGAGGACTGATGCTTTCTCTTGAGAGTGACAACTCTTGTATAGTTGTACCTGGAGCAAGAAGTTGAAGGAAGGTGTAAGATAGCATGTAGCTTATAATAAAATTATTTTTTAAAAGTCTGCATTATTTTTCTTAGTGTGCCTATCAAAGGATTGCAGCATAGCCATTTTTAATACATCTAGAAGGAAGCAATACTATTGGATTTACCAAGTAGTCCTTCAGGTTTCAACCCCAGAAATATAAGCTAATCCCAGTATGATTTAGGCAGCTGATGACATTAAGCCATTTTTTGAACACAGTGTATGTTATAACATTAAACAACATAGGTATGTTTCTCACGATTTACAAGTTTGGTATTTTTAATGGCTTTCAGTATGGTACTTTCTGATACAGTTATATCAGACATGTCTAGAAACAAATTTTCTTTTTAGCATGGTTTGACATAATGAAGCATAATTCTATCTGTCTGAGCAGTGCTAAAGGTCTCAATAGTCTGAAAATGGAAAGCTGGGTAGAGGAGGAAAGTCCCAAATGAATGTTCTGTCTCTTGGAGTAGCGTTAGCTGAGCCCAGCAGTCTGTGTGACTTCTCCAGCAGGCCTGGGAGCAGAAGTCATGGAGCTGTGGCTTGAGCATAAACTGCTTGTGGCAAGAGGGGGCAAAGACATAGGAGAGAGGGTTATCTGAAGAGCTATTCCAGGTGTCTGTGTGAGTGGTTGTAGGGGATGTGAAAGGGTTATGGCAAGGTTGGAATGTGGCGCATAGGAGATAAGTCCCTAAGAAAAGAGTCTTCCTTAGATGTTCTTCGCACAGTACAACCTGGTTTTGTGGTCACATAACTGAGAACAGATGGACAAGTGCTACCTATATCTTTTCAGACCCCAGTGATACAAGTGCAAGATTTTTAGAGACTCCTTTCTACTTGCTGTATCATCCAATTGTGGAAAATGGGGTCTGGAAATTGATGCTGCTGTTAGTGCATCACTCTGAAATCCTGTGTGCGCTCTTCTATTGCTGTTTTGTGTCTTTTGGTAGAACTCTGTGTTTGAACCTAATCTGATGGTCAGATATACTGTAGGAGTCCCAAATATGAAGTGCTTTAAGGTAATACTGGTTAGCTTTGCATTCTCCAATTCCAGATTTGTGCTAAAATTTTTGGTCTCCTCAAATGTGATTAAGAACTTATTTTTTCATCTGAAGTTACAAGAACTTGTCACTAGAATACAAAATAATGAAACCAGTCTCTATGGAGGAACCCCCACACACCTTGAAATATAAAGGATAAATCAAATTACGTTTGTAACCCTAGGTTTGCTGTTTGAACCAAGGCAAAATTATAATAATGTAGGTTTTCAAGGAGTTGAAAGCTTGAGTAATTTAAGCACTTCCTTAACCTAAGTTGTGGTGGCTGTGGTATTTTGTACAAGTAGAAATTACTTGCTAACATAGTGGGTTTTAAAAATTGTTCTGAATTATTACATTCTCTGTGAAAATTTTGAAGATAGCCTAGAAAAATTATTTAAAGGTAGGTTGTTATAAACTCTGGGGTTTTTTTGTAGATAGTATTTATGGATTTTCTTATAGGCACAAGTTCAAGATTGTTTTAATCTATGCATCTTTTTGTTTCAATTGTCAGATAAATTTTAGGTTTTGTTTAGCTGGGTTGCCTTAGATTGACATTCTCTTTGTACTTTTGCAAAATGAGAGTCACTATATAAAGGTGTCCCTAGACTATGCTTTATATTCAAGATTACTTGAGTTCTGATATTTTCTTCTTTGACAATAATTTGGTCCTACAAAAGCAGTGTTAAATGTTCCTGCACCTGGTAAAGCCTTCTGTTTACTCAAGCTGTTTCTGAAAGGCCTGTTAGAAAACAGAAGGGTATGGTTTGGATTTAGGCAGGAAGAATTGAGTTGTTTGCTTTTTTGTTGCTGTTGTAAATTGAAGCAGCAAGAGAAGTATTCTTCATAATACCCTAGTGAGCAAGTAATAAATAAAAATTCCTGCTCTAAAGTATTCCTATTAAACCAGCAAAAATGCACCTCTAGTGAGAGCTCATGAAGCTGAAATGTTTGAAAAAAGGCACTCCTGAATAATCAGTGGATAGATTTTAATCCCCAAAATTCCCAGTAATTTCAACTTGACCGTATTGGTATACAATTTCATGCAGTTACACCTGTGATGAATCTAAAAGCTATTCACTAGAGCGTGCATTCTTGAAAAGCAATGTCATGAACTGTGGCAATTCACCACTTGTTTTCGTGCTTGGTTTTGTTTTACTTGAGGTGGATCTTTTGGTTTTTGCTATTGTTGTTGTTTTTAAAAAAGCCTCCTGTGCTATATTTCCAGTTTTATTTTTATTTTGGCCTCCACTCCCATTGTCTTTTCTGAGGATTTTCTTGCTATGTTCCAAAGCTTTCTAGCAAGCAGTGTTTAGGGTTATTATTCATTATGGTATTTGTAAATAAAGTTGCTGGATGTTTTCTTTTTAAATTAAAACTTGCAGTTACAATCAACATGTCTTGCAATTTTCTCATGCCAACTTTTTGTTGTTTTTCATAGTTCTGTCTTTTCCATGTTTAACAAAATTAGTCATGCTTAACAAGCATTTTCTAAACTTGATAAACTACATGCATCTGTATTGCATGCAATTAAGTAGGTTTTGATGTTTAACTATTGAATCAAAAATTAAATTTTTGCTCAGGGTACATACACAGTTACTTTAGAGAAAGCAGTGAAGCTTCAACTTTTGCTGTATTTAGATAAACTTCAAAATCAAGATAGTTTCCACAGATATTCTCCAAGTGTATTTAGTGGACTGTGTAAAGCTTGTCTGATGCCACTCTTACTAGCCTTTGGCTGTCTGCAAATTTCCTTTGCAGTGAGTTTGTATTTACTTGTGAGTAAATATGCCTGATGATGCTCCATGAACCCAGCCAGGAGCCTTTCCAGTCAGCAATAATTTCCCTTTGGTTACTTTGTTTAAAGGTCCTTTAGTCAGATAAATCTTAATCTGCTTTTCTGATGTGTTATTACTGTTCTACAGTAAGGTTTTAAAAATGGGATTGCCCAGCACATAGGCATTAAAATCTTCTGGCTTTTCATGTAAATAAGATATTTTATCCTCAGTTTAAGTTGGATTATGACCAAGATGCATCTTTTTTTAGTCACAAGATTTGTGTGGTGTAATACAAGGATTGACTTTGCTGGAAGCTCACAGTGTGAGGAAACTTTAAGCTGTATTTTATTATCATATTTTTCACTAAGCTTTGTGTTCAGTTGTGGTTAAAGTATTTCTTACATGCTGTAGCTTTGGGGTTCCTGGATTGATGGTATTTGCCATTATTTCAGAGGCAAGTAATAACTCTAAATTTCCTGTTTTGAATAAGTACCATTGTGAAGCTATCCTTTCTGTTCCATGAGAGTGTGATAACACTTGAGCCCTAGTGCATGCATGTGTGTATTTACTTGCACTTATTATTAGGAACCGAGCTAAGGAAGGCTCATTGCAATAATTACAGCCCTGTCTTCAACCTTATCTGCTGATTTCTAATGGAGAGGAAAATCCCACGAGTAAAGGAGGAAGAGGGTGAGAATATTTTAACCACGTGCAGTAAGCAATGCTGTTTGCTTAGGCAGAAGTTACTTCCTAAACACTGGCATTTATTGCTAGTTTTATTCCATTAAGCTACTACTTAATGACTTTTTGTCTTCCTCCTTTTGGTATTTCTCCAACTAACAAGAGGGTTTCTGGGAAGGGAGGTGGCAAATTTCTGAGGAGCCCCTGGGAACAGAGTGCAGCTGCGAGAAGGTGGCCAAGAGAGGTGAAAGAGGAATGCTGAGGCCATGGCCATGGAGTAGTGCAGATGGGCTAGAGCAGATGGGAGCCCGTGGCATCTGGGACCTACTGGATGGAGCCATGTTTCACTGTGTGAGTGAAGGACACAGTATCTGACCTGTCTCTGTGTCTCTCAAGCTACTGTCAGAAATTGCTGCTAGTGGGGCAGATTCGCTGCTTCTACAGAACAGCAGCACAAGCATCCACTGCCACAGTGGTCCTGACTCCTGTGCAGTTTAAATTGTTTCACTTGGGATTTTAAAAGTTGTGGGGTTGACTGCATATCTCCCTGCCTGTTCTTACTTTATTTGTAGTACCTTTCTACCAGTGACTTTCTGACACCCTCAGAATGGAAGCATTTTATGAAACAGTTTCTGCTGTCTTTCTGGTGGCTACACCTCGCTATGTTTTCTACAGCCTTCTGAATGGAAGGTACACAATTGTGGTTGCTGCTGTGGCATGTATCAGAGGCTGGGCACAGGTCAAAACAAAACCCACCATAGAAGAGGACTGAGAACTAAGTAAGCTGGACATGTGTAAGTCACAGAATCATAGAATCATAGAATGGCCTGGGTTGAAAAGGACCATAGTGATCATCTAGTTTCAACCCCCCCGCCATATGCAGGGCCGCCAATCACTAAACCAGGCTGCTCAGAGCCACATCCAGCCTGGCCTTGAATGCCTCCAGGGATGGGACATCCACGACCTCCCTGGGCAACCTGTTCCAGTGTGCCACCACCCTTTGTGTGAAAAGCTTTCTCCTAATCTCTAACATAAACCTCTCCTGTCTTAGTTTAAAACCATTCCCCGTTGTCCTATCCATGTCCTATCAAAGTCCATGAGGGCAGACAGTATACA